TCCCATTCACTGTCCCCACTCCCAGTCCCCATTCCCTGTCCCCACTCCCTGTCCTCACTTCCTGTCCCCACTCCCAGTCCCCACATCTTGTTCCCCACTCCCAGTCCTCACTCCCTGTCCCCACTCCCTGTCCCCACTCCCTGTCCTCACGCCCTGTCCCCACTCCCTGTCCGCAGCTGCCCTCCACTGATGGTTGTAGCCACCACAAGCCGGGCCCGGGACCTGCCTGCTGACGTGCAGACAGCATTTCCGCATGAGCTGGAGGTGCCTGTGCTGTCAGAGGGGCAGCGGCTGAGCATCCTGCAGGCCCTCACTGCCCGCCTGCCCCTGGGCCAAGAGGTGGACCTAGCACAGCTGGCTCGGCGGTGTGCAGTGAGTACCAAGGCAGGGCCTGGTCCTCCCACATTCTCTGTCATAGGAACTCAGACCTGCTGCCCTGCAAGTGAGGGTAGAAAACCCCGAGGCACCAACATTGGGCCTCAGTTCCGGCTGGAGGGCCTGCCGCCCAAGGGTTCCTGCCTCCTGTGCCCTGCTCATGCGCCCTTTCCTGTGGTTCCCAGGGCTTTGTGGTAGGAGATCTCTGTGCCCTTTTGACTCACAGCAGCCGGGCAGCTTGCACCAGGATCAGGAACTCTGGGTAAGAAAACTAGGTATAAAAGGGCAAAGGTGACAAGAGGAAATATGGGTGGGTGGGAGTTGGTAAGGAAGGGAGGAGGGAACAGGACCCCGATACGGGGAGGCCTCAGGCCAGGTCCTCCAGACACCTCCCTGGGTTTCTCTTTGCAGTTTGGCCGGCGGCCTGAGTGAGGAGGATGAGCGGGAGCTGTGTGCTGCTGGCTTTCCGCTCCTGGCAGAGGACTTCGGGCAGGCCCTGGAGCAGCTGCAGTCAGCTCACTCCCAGGCCATCGGAGCCCCTAAGGTAGAGAATCTAGGTCCTTGGAGGTGGGACCAGAGCTCCGTCCTCCGGCATATCCCCAACCAGGCTCTTCCATCGCCTAGATCCCCTCGGTGTCCTGGCACGATGTGGGCGGGCTGCAGGAGGTGAAGCGGGAGATCCTGGAGACCATCCAGCTCCCTCTGGAGCACCCTGAGCTGCTCAGCCTGGGCCTGAGGCGCTCAGGCCTCCTGCTCCACGGGCCCCCTGGCACCGGCAAGACCCTCCTGGCCAAGGCAGTGGCCACTGAGTGCAGCCTTACCTTCCTCAGGTGACCAGGGGGCCTGGAGAGATGCTGGGTGGATTGAGCCAATCGCGTTGGGGTGTCTAACGAGTGTTGCCTCCCACATCCTCTCCCTCAGCGTGAAGGGGCCAGAGCTCATCAACATGTACGTGGGCCAGAGTGAGGAGAACGTCCGGGAAGGTGAGCGAGTGGGCAGGGCTTCCAGTCCTGAAACGATGGCCCCTGCGCCCCACCCCCGTCCCCACCCCTCAGGCTGCTCATGGGCATTCCTAGTCTTCCTTTCCACAAGTCTACTTCCTGGAGCGCTAGTAATGAATTGTCAAGCCTGGGTTTTCTCCCCTCATATCTTGACTTTAAAGCCCCCCCGAGCTTCCCCTCCTGTGGGCCCCTCTCTCCTCAGTGTTTGCCAGGGCCAGGGCCGCGGCTCCCTGCATTATCTTCTTTGATGAACTGGACTCCTTGGCCCCAAGCCGGGGGCGAAGCGGAGACTCTGGAGGTGTGATGGACAGGTGGGGGTCTGAGCCAGAATGCAGCCTGGGTCCAGGACAGAGGGATGCGAGATGGGTTGCAGCAGTCTCCAGAGCCCGGAGTGCCTGTCCTTCCGGTTCTGAGACGGTATAATGGAAGCTAAACGGGGCTGTGGCTTTGGGTGTGGGGCATTGAGGAAAACGGGTGCCAGCATGTAGGGGCACAGGGCACGGCTCAGCAGGGGGCCCTGTGGAGAAGGCTTGCACGGGGAGGCCCCACAGGCAGGCAGGGCAGAGCTGAGGGTGGGCCCAGGACTCCCCTTCGCTCCTCCTTTGCAGGGTGGTGTCTCAGCTGCTGGCTGAGCTGGATGGGCTTCACAGCACTCAGGACGTGTTTGTGATCGGAGCCACCAACAGACCAGACCTCCTGGACCCTGCCCTCCTGCGGCCTGGCAGGTGCCCATCCTGTACCTCTCCTCCACCAGACCCCGTCGGGCTCGTCCCTCGGCCCCATCCTGTGCCTTCTTCCTTCACCCTTATGCCGGGCTCCCTGACACGTGTGCCCACTTCTCTCCCTAAAGATTTGACAAGCTGGTGTTTATGGGGGTGAGCGAGGACCGTGCCTCCCAGCTCCGTGTTCTGAGCGCCATCACACGCAAGTATGCCCTGACGGAGACTCCCAGAAGGCTTGGGCCTTGGTCTGGTTAGGGGATAAGTGCAGTGTGCAGAATACATTGGTCAGGGAGTATATTCTTTTGAGGGAGTTGGGCATGCCGGGTAAAACTTTCTATCCTGTGTCCCTACAACAGATTCAAGTTGGAGCCCTCTGTGAGTTTGGTGACCGTGCTGGACCACTGCCCTCCCCAGCTGACCGGTGCGGACCTCTACTCCCTCTGTTCTGATGCCATGACAGCTGCCCTCAAACGCAGGGTTCGGGACCTGGAGGAAGGTGAGCCACCCGCCTGCCCCAGAGGTCAGCCGAAAAGCTAGAGGGAAAACAGGCCCGGTTCTGGATTTCAGAAGAGGGACTCTTGGCGTTTCGGGGACTCTGGGCAAGAAGGCCCTCCCCCGGGGCTTTCCTTGCTTGGACAGAGCCTGAGTTCCCCAGACAGGCGGAGAACCCCGGCCTCCCTTCCCCTTGTCGTCCCCCTAGGGCTGGAGCCCAGGGGCTCAGCGCTGCTGCTCACCATGGAGGACCTGCTGCAGGCCGCCGCCCGCCTGGAGCCCTCCGTCAGTGAGCAGGAACTGCTCCGCTACAAGCGCATCCAGCGCAAGTTTGCCGCCTGCTAGCGGCCTCCTGCCGTCTGGGACCCTTCCCCACCCACAGTGGCTAAAGCTCCCTGGGGATCCCCGCAGACCTGAGAGAGCAGAGGGCTCTGTCTCAGGCTGCCATTACCCACCTAGGCTGCCAACCTCCTGGAGATCCCCTGGGTGCCAAGGGGGAGAGGCCTGAGAGAATTCAAGAGGCATCCTCTGTCCATTTTTCCAGGCCAGCCCCAACACTAAGGCCCATGGGCGCAGGAAGTGGGGTGGGGACCTGGAGTTCTGGGAGTGGGGCCCTGAGGGGGCCAGGTGGGTGGCTAGAAATAAAGTGTATGCTGCCCTCTGCTGGTGGTGTGGTGGCGTGGTGGCGTGGTGGTTGGGGTGGTGGCGTGGTGGTTGGTGTGGTGGTGGTGTGGTGG